GAAAGTTCAGTGTGTAGAAAGTTAAGAGTACTGCGAAAACATTTTGCAATGTGATGGGAATTTCCTGCCTTGGAACACGTGGTTAGCCACTTGACATGCTTTAAATTACAGCTTTCTGTTTTCTTGTGTTTGTAGCACGGTTTGAAGTGATTGCTGATAAGACCTTCTAAGAAACAGAAACGACAAAATTACCTACAGCAGTAGAAACTCCGGGAAAATAAGATTTTAGCTATAATTCTTGTAAATAATCATTTATTGCACAGTACCGCGTATTAAGCTACTTTTCTTTGAAGTACTTATTCACTTAGCACTTCCAGCAGTTTTTCCAACACAGACATCAGAAAGTTCTCTATAATGGCAAAGATTCTATGACTGCATCAAATTATTTCTGAATTTGTTCGCATTGATTAATGTAACAAAATCATTTTGTCCGGATAAAAATATTCGTGTATCTTTTCTATGAATTCTCCCTGTTATTGACAGTGTACAGATAATAACTAAATTCACCTGACAAATTGTAAGAGGCCTATAAATTTCAAATTTAATCGACATCCGTTGAGATTTTTCATTGATGATTCATACAAACAGGCAAATAACACTCAATAGAGGCTTTACCTGACCTATGTTTACTAGGTCTTGTCGACTCACTCAATAGAGGCTTTACCTGACCTATATTTACTGGGTGTTGTCGACACAGTCTGGTGTTCTGAAACGCTACCTTCATTTATGGCACACACTGTAGAACACGTGTGAACAGATTTTGTCGTATCTCACAACGTGATACAATTACATAGACAAATTTACTGTTAGAGATTTTTAAAATAATTATGGACATTGATGCAATTTTTATACCTGTTTTATGAGTTATGCAGACGCTTTAACATTGTAATTCTATATCTGTAAACCATTCTTTACTTTACACATAAAAAGCAGACAGATCATAATTATGTACTTAAGAGTAAATTGTTTAAGAAGTCTGAACTTTATTTAGATGCAAGTTCCCATTCAGTATATCTAGTAATTCAGTGCAAAATCTGTTTTTTACGTTACAGAGTGCTCGGGGTATGTCTGAGAAGAATGTCACTCGCCGATTTATTTCGGAAAATTTGCGTGTGACGTATTACATTTCTTTTGGCTTACCTCTCTAAAATTTAAATGCTTATTGCAACATTTACAGAAGTGTGCTATTGGTTCCTAGTCGGAGCCTGTTCAATCCAGTCCACAACTTTACAGTCTGCCTCCGAAGATCCATTTTAATGTTATCTTCTCAT